AGACAGGTAGACTGGTAGGAACTGAGGAAAACATGTATGCAACCAAAAATTGGATCTACAACATAATAAAGAACAAGAACACACTGAAGGGGTCTGAATGCTTTCTGAAGTTACCATGATTTTTAAAAGATTGTCTTCAATTTTGTTCCTACAATTATTCAGATAATATTGTATAGTAACATAATTTTACCACAAATTTTATTTTCATCTTTTCTGTAGACAGATGTATTAAAATATATATATTTTTGATTTGGCAAGGCAATGAAGTGTGCTGATAAGTGACTGATAATGGTTCCCTACTTTCCAACAGATCAGACCAGGAAGTTGAACTTTTACCAATGAATGCTGAAGTTTCTTACCGACGCCCACAGGTGGTGGAGTCTACACCCCAGCCTAATAGTAAGTCTGATGTCCATGGGCAGTAGCAGGTCAATACTTGGTCATTTTCCATTTCGTCATGTCTGACCTTCACAAACAGAATCTGTCTCCACAAACCAAACAAGCAATGTTTTTTTTTATCCTTTGTAATTATGAAAAAGAAACAAAAGGATACAATCAGATCACCTTAAGGTATAATATTACAATTGTTACAATTGTTTTATGGTTTATTCTGTCCCGAGTTGCATCACAATTTCATCCCACATTTCACTTGTTTTGCACACAACATATAGTGTATAAATAGCACTCACTACTGCTGGGACAAAACATTTATACTTATCCAAGAAAAGAAATTAATTTGAACAGTTGATGCACAAAGAGGTATTTCATAATTTCAAAGAGGATCCCTCCAGCTTATTCCCTTGAAGGCCAATCACAAAGCAAATGTTTCCACTTTTCCTGCTAAAGCCATATTGCCAATACTGCTTGTTTTATAGGAGCACAGATATCACTGTGTGGGTGCCTTACCTTTTAATACATTTGATATGCAAATTATTCAATTTTCTGTGTTTTTCAGTGGTGGAGGGTGTGGTCCAGTTGTTGGAGGGTCTCAGTGGCAGGCTGCTGGCCAGTCTCAAGGAGGTCTTGGTAGAGAGAGAGCAGCTGACTCTGGGCAAGGAACTGGGCAAAGGTCAGTTCATGGATTTAATTGATTCTTGTTTTGCCTCACTTTTCAAAACCATCAATTTTCAAATAGCAATGGGATGTTTGGTGTGTACATGACAGACGCCTGGATGTTGTGCTTACACATCAAAATAAAATAGTGCTGAACAATAGAATCTAAAATATTTCTTCTTCATTTTTCAAGTCAGAACTTGTTCTATGTTTTTAAATCCTCAAACTTTCAGTTTTGAATACATGTATTCTTAAAAAAATTAAGAAAATTAGAATAAAAAATAAATAAATCTATAAAATTGCACCGTTAGTTAAAGTAATTAGGACTTGTGGTGCATTTCCTTTGAACCATTGTGCATCAAAAAAGTGGTTACCCATTGTTCTTCTTTAGAGCTACACTCCTAAGGGTGAGAACTCTTCCTTGGGACACTTTCATTTTGGAATTCATTTATATCCCAATGTTCCTCGTGGTCTTGTGGAAGTCTGTAAGAAGGCCAGCTGCTGAGTATTAAGCAATTTCCTACTGACAAATGATATTATTAGGAAAACAATTCCAAGTACTCTCAAACTGCCTCTTTTTTTTGGTCGTGATTCAACAAGATGTTGGAAATTATCTTTGAGAACCTATTCCATGTGGACAACATTCACTTTTTTTGCAGATTAGTCAGAAGTTTGGGACAACTTTTGTGGCCTGGGACATGATCCTGTTGAAAGAAGCCATTAGAAGATAGTGAACTGTGGCCACATGAGTAGAAAGGGATGCACATGATTAACCAAAACAGACAGGCTGTGGCATTCAGACCATGACTGACTTGAATTAAAGAACACAAAGTGCCCAAGAAAACATTCCACACACCATCACACCATCAGCACAGCCTGGACTGTTGGCACAAGGCAGGGTGGCTCTGTGGATTCATGCCACCAGTTCTGACCTACCATTTTGTCATGGGGTTTTATGGGGAATCCAGGTGCAGACACTGAGGACGATGAGATATGAGACTAGGTGAGGAACGTGTCTATTTACAAAGCAGTGTAAGATACAGAATGATAAGTAAAGAATAAGGCAGGGAGCCAGTCAAAGCACATATCAAAATCAACAATCTGGCCGATCGGTGGCTCGGTGGTTAGCACTTTTGCCTCAGAGCTAGAAGGTTGCCGGTTCGCATCCCAGTGAGGACACCCGTAGACACTGCGTGGAGTTTGCATGTTCTCCCCGTGCAGCGTGGGTTCACTCCAGGTCCTCCGGCTTCCTCCCACACAGTCCAAAAACATGTTGAGGTTAATTGGTGATTCTAAATTGTCTGTAGGTGTGAATGTGAGTGTGCTTGGTTGTCTGTCTCTAAATGTGGCCCTGTGATATACTGGTGACCTGTCCAGGGTGTCCCCTGCCTTCACCCTGAGTCAGCTGGGATAGGCTCCAGCCCCCCGCGACCCTAGTGAGGATTAAGCAGTGTATAGATAATGAATAGGATGGACAATCTGGCCAAGATGAAGTCTGAGCTAGGGTTTTATGGAGAGAAGTCTAATCAGGTGAGCATAGGTGCAGAGGTGTCTTGGCTTGGTGTTGATGATGATCACTAATAGAGTGAGGGGAAGGAGGAAGACTGACTGGAAACAAATCAGAGGCTGGGGCAGAGACACATATGCAACCTCAAGGATTAGGATCTGTTAACCAGTGACTCAACAGTGTGCTGTGGGCAGACAGGAAGAGCACCAAGGATCGATGACATCATGGGTATTGTCTCAGACCAAAATTTCTTAAGATGACATATGAAAATAGGTGATGTTCCTCTATTCCCACGGTGAAAGCAGCATATATCTTGACTCTTACATTCAGTGAGTTTTAAATAATTGAACTAGGGTAAAGTGTGACCTGCATAGCATTTTGCACTGATGTACACATTTGCATGAGCTACTAATAGATTTTCAATTTTTTGTATAATGGGATGTAGAGAAAGATGCATTAATGTCATGCTCCCAGGCGAGTAGCACGGAGTTGTTCTGATTACAACGATAATAAACCATATATTGCACCCCAGTCCTCTGGGTATATCTGTGTATAACTACTTATGGAAACAGAAGTTAAGAAATAGAACCCTAAAACAACATTTACATTACAGTCCAATGTTTTGTGTGAAGTTTTAGACAGAAAGCAGTGAACAAGGGACATTATTAATTGAATCAACTGCCACCAGACTGACCTATGTTTTCTCTATATATGTAAATCTTATTAGAATAACAACAATGCATGAAATAATTCTGCACAGTGTCAGCCAAAACCAACTTTTCAATGTGTTTGATACAATGAATAATCTGTGAAGATGCAGAATATTTCTTAAGTAACAGCCAGTAATAACATGAAATCTTTTGTCCTGCACCACAGGAGAGTTTGGCTTAGTGTATGAAGGGATCTTTACACCAGAGGAAGGTGTGGACATCAAAGTGGCTGTGAAGACCATGAAAGGTATGCATTGAAACTCCAACCTTTCATTACAACTCCACTCTTCCATTTCTTATTTTTGCCATTTCTCTCTGTCACGTCGAGTAGGAATCCACAGTCAGGAGGACTTGCATGAGTTTCTGAGAGAGGCAGAGATCATGAAGAACTTTGATCATGAAAATGTCGTCAAACTACTGGGTAAGATGTACACATGTCAAAGGTTATATAGGTCAGCTTGCTGTTGTTTTAGTAGTTCCTTTTTTGAAAATGTGACAAATATTGACTAAGAAGCGGGTATAGTGGAAGATAGAAGTGTGTGTGTGCGTGCGTGTGCGTGTGTGTGTGTGTGTGTGCATGTGTGTGTGTGCGTATGCATGTGACATAGTGATAATCTTCATATTTTGTCATGATTTCTGAGTTTCAAGTGGGTAGAAAGTTATGCTGGCAGTTAAAGCGCAGATACATTTCATAAAATGAACATATCTTTGTTCATAAACTCAACTGAATGAAGGTTTATTCATTTCATGTTAGTTGAAGCTAAAATGCCTACTTCTGAACTTTGACTTTGAGGTTTTTTGAACTGAAATCATGTGTTGAAGGGAATCAACGTCTGATAATATGCCGAACCTATTCAACTGACTTTTATAGAAAAACAAGCATAGTGGCAGTAATCCCAGAATACATTGCTTGAAAGTTAAAACTGAGGAAAGTAGATCTATCAGTAAATCATTAAATTAACAAGTGACACAATTTACTTCAAGGTTGTCATTTTGGCAGAAATGCTTCACTTGCAGTTTCAATTAGTAGCATAATTGCCCTTATGCTGTTACTTCTAAGGTCTTTATCTAAGTTATATTTAATCCTTAAACCACTATTCAGCAGCAAAACACTTGTAACTGTTGTGTCATTGTTTGCAGGGGTGACTTTACAGAGAGAGCAGGACTCTCCTCTGCCTGTTCCTCTCGTTGTCCTGCCCTACATGAAGCATGGAGACCTGCGCCGTTTCCTTATTGCCACTCGCTATGGTGATATCTCTATGGTGAGAAGCAGTCAAGAAATGCATGCACAAAAACAGGGCTTATGTCACATGCTTACCTATGTAGATACACACGAGGATGTCAGCAACAATTTACACAACAGTTATTGTATTCATAAGAAGAATAGTAGAATCTTTTTGAGTGTAAATAAGTACGAACAGTAAACATGTAAAAAATATTGTGTGACAGCATCAACCACAAAGTTTCAACCACAAACTGAGCAGAAATGCACAAATAGCGAAAAATCACAGACATCTAACTCTATAATAAGTCTTGAAATTTAATTGTGCAATCATTTCCATAATGTCCACCTGTACACTTATTAGATGACCTGAATTTGGACATTGAGACCATAATGACTAGCTGAAAACAGAGATTGGTCCTCAGGGAACAGAGAACTTCTGTTTTCAACAAGTCATTATGGTCTCAATGACTACATGTTATAAGTTCAGTTATAGTGAGATGTTGGTGCTGTATGATTGGCAAAGAGTCAGGGACTTTTGAAAACCAGCATCTCGTGGCCATTGGTGGTATTGCACTGCAAAGTACTTCAACAGTAGCTTCAGCCTTAAGCTGTGGCAGTTGCTACTTGGTTTAAATCTATATCAAGTGTTAACAACCAGTAGCTACGGGGGTTAGCACTATCGCCTCACAGCTAGAAGATCCCTGGTTTACATCCCTGCCTGGACCTGGGATCTTTCTTTGTGGAGTTTGCATGTTCTCCCTGCGCCTGCATTGGTTCTCTTCGGGTGCTACGGCTTCCTCCCACAGTCTAAAAACATGTTTAGGTTAATTGGTCGTTCTATATTGTCCGTAGGTGTGAATGTGAGCGTGCTTGTTCGTCTGTCTCTATGTGGCCCTGTGATGGACTGGCCACCTGTCCACGGTATACCATGCCTTTGTCCTGAGTCAGCTGGGATAGACTCCAACACCTCTGCCGCTCTACAGAGAGGATTAAGTAGTGTATAGATATTGGATGGATGGATGGAACCTGTAGCTAAGAAATATTTAACTGCATTGTTTATTTCATTTGCAAAATCACTGATGAAAATGTTAGTCAATTACAAAGAAAAAAACAACAAATATTAACCCCAAGCAGTATTTCTTTTGTTTTTGTTTTTTTGCTTCTGTCACAATTTTTACTCAACTTACCGCAAATTTTTCACTGCAATATGAATTCCTGCACCTCTGTGGAAACAATACAACCATGACTAGATACGGGGGAATTCAAAAATGGGTCATGTGCAGTACAACATGGTTATAATGTCATAAATAATGAAAAAGCAAAGTTTTATTCATTTGTTTTTACTTTTAAAAAATTTGCAATCCAGATGTAGAATTTTTTTTCCCCCAAGTCCCTACGGCATTATCAATGCTGGAAAACAATTGTAAATCATAAACATTAAACTATTTACATTTTTACAGCTACAACAATCCAAACATTTCTCATGGTACTCTGCACATCCTCTTGACAAGATATCATCCTGAATGTATTTTCCAGCATTTTGCCAACAGATTGGTCCTCTGTATACTGTTTTTGAGCCATGCTGCTTTTTGTAACGATCGGGGTTATAATATTCTGCTTTCTTTGCAGTTTGTGCCCCATCAGAGTCTCCTGCGCTTCATGATCGACATTGCAGCAGGGATGGACTATTTGAGTTCGCAGGGGTTTCTGCATAGAGACTTGGCTGCACGCAACTGCATGTGAGTCTACCACAGGGAGATGGAGGATAGCTGGAAATCAAGGACTCCTTGTTCACATATGACTGTGTCTCTGTCCCTCAGCTATTGGTATTCCACCATAGCTTGTATCTGGGGAAGGAAGCTGCTTAAAGTTTCAATGACACAGACTGAGGGCATCAGAGTAGACGATGTGTGTGTGCTGGGACAAAATATATAAAACAGTGTTAGAACTCACATTTTGTTCTTTGATCTGACTTCAGACAGCAATGCAGATGATGCAATTATATATTTTTTATGCACAGGCTAGGTGATGACCTTAGGGTATGTGTGGCTGATTTCGGCTTGTCCAAGAAAATCTACAGCAGTAATTATTACCGTCAGACAGTAGCTTTGCGTCTGCCAATCAAGTGGATGGCCATGGAGAGCCTATCTGAGTCTATCTACACTACCAAAAGTGATGTGGTAAGTTTGCCATAGTCCAGATTAAGGCCTCTCTTCAGTCAGTCATGTACATTTGCAGCCTGAATAAAAACCTGTGTTTACTTGTCCTTGTCTCAGTGGTCATTTGGAGTAACCATGTGGGAGATTGTGTCCAGAGGCAGGACACCCTATCCTGGAGTCCACAACCACGAACTGCTGGACCTGCTACTGTCTGGACACAGGCTGAAACCACCAGAGGAGTGCGATCACAAACTGTGAGTTACTGTGATTTTTCAGGGACATTTCAAGTTTTGTGTTTTGATTAAAGGTTTCAGAACATTTGATTAAAATATTTAGATTTTGTATACAGTGAGTAATAAATTTATTAGACCACCTGTCATAAAAATGAGAAAACAGAAACATCAATCTTTGAATGTACCACATCCCAAAATTGTTCAATAGAAGTCAAATCTGGACCTTGACTTGGCCAGTCCATCAGTCCCAATACTCCAGATTCGTTTTTCTTGGTCAAATAGTCTTTGCACAGTTTTGAAGTATGCTTGGGGTCATTGTCTTATTGGTATATGAACCCACGAAACTCAGATTCAGTCCAGAAGGGATTCCATGATGCACTAGAATAGAACATGCATTGTCATCATACACAAAGTACAATGAAATTAAAAGACAACTCCAGTGGTGCAAAAGTATAAAAGTAAAAGTATAAAAAGACAAATAAGAATATATGTTTACAAAAGGCGCCAGTAGGAAATATATAGTTAAGTAGAATAAATATATTGCACTCATGAAGAACACTGTGGATATATGAGAAATATAAGTAATATAAATAAATAATTATTATAAGTAATATGATATCTAGTGAGTCTGGATGTGTGGGCCTTGATGGATCGGTTCCTCTTTCCTGAGGGCAACAGTGACAACAGGCTGTGCCCGGGTTGTGAACCATCGAAGGTGATGCTTGTGGCCCTGCGCAGACATCTGGTGTCATAGATGTCTGACAGAGAGGATGTTGTGGTCGACGTTCTTGTTCATAATATTATAGATTTTCACTAATTTGCCCACACCATTTCCACAAATAGTATTCCATACCATATTGGAATCTCCACCGTGTTTCACTGTGGGTGCAATGCATCTGGCATCAAAAAATGTTCTCCAGCTTTTCTGCAGACATTAACAGGACGATGCCGACCAAAGAGTTCAAACTCTGACCCGTCCATCCAGTGTACCTTCTTTCAGTCATCAACAGTCCAGTGTTTGTGCTCCCTGTTAAATCTGAGGTTTTTCTGGATGTTTGCAGGCCTCAATAACGGCTTCTTAGCAGTTTTTCTTCCCTTTGAACCTTGTTTCATCAGTCGTCTGCTTATGGTCATTCTGGAAAGTTTCTCGGACTCTGATCTAGAAGCATTCATCTCTGCCTGAAGATCCGCAGTGGTCTTCCTTCTGTCTGTAGAACTTAAATTCTTGAGGTGTCTGACATCTGCTTCAGTTAACTTTCATTTCCTGCCTCTTCCTTGGCGGAGTTCGTAAGTACCAATCTCAGTAATTGACTCCAAAGCATTCTTGACCACACTTGGAGAACACTTTATGTATTTCCCTATTTGTCTCATAGACCATCCGGCATCAGGAAGTGTTTTAATAAGGACTCTATCAGTTTCAGTGAGCTCTCGACATTTTACCGTTTTGAACAGGAATGAAGAATTTCAAACCGAACTCACCTTATTATATCTAAATTTGAGCCGACTCACTGGGTTTCTCTGAGAAGTCAGAAATTAATCAAGCATAACATTCAACCACTAAAACATTTTTTTTCTGTTCAGGAATGCAAGTAAATGGCTATAAGTAAATAAAGTAAAGTAAATAATAATAATTTGACATCTTAATCAAGAAATAATAATGTGCTTTACAATTTGTTTTCTGTTCTTTTTTTTTGTAAAACAGTAAATTTGAAAATTCATGGATAACATAATAATCATATTTTAGCATTAAAACTATCATTTGGGTTAAAGAGCTTCTACATGCTGGTGTATTAACCATGACAGAAACATAAAAAAGATTTTGGTAATCATAAATGCTGTTAATTAAGGGCCATTATGGAATAAACCTTACATTGAGTGGTGATCTAATAAATTTGTTGAACACTTGACTTTTCTTTTGCATATTGTCAATCAGTTAATGATAAATATACAGTCCATAGGTGTATAGACAGATACACCAACTAACATACAGCGGGAACATGAAGCAGTTAAATGTCTGATTACTTAATTGCAGTAGAGAACAGGAAAGAACAACAGAACAGCTTATTGTAGTAAGACCTAATAATGTATCCAACCTGTTTCCTTAAATTCATCAGTGCAGGTCACGTATTTTTACATCTTGACAATTTAAACTGTAAGTTCATTAAAATTGCAGAACAACACATATAGCCATGTTCCTATCACATCAGAGGACATTTCATTGCTTTACCATATTTCTTCAAACCAATCACAAGCATCATGGGTGGTGCAACGATAGTGCCCTTGCATAATAATAGTGTAAATTTGCAATGAGATGAGTGCTGTCATTAAAATGGCTAATGAGTTGAAAGAGCCAAGCAGGCCGACCTCACACGATGATCCAGACCGACTACATACCTAACCCTAGCCATTACCCTAACCTAGAACTAGACCTCATTCTAACCAGAGCCCTAAAGACTTCATACAGGTCTTTGAAAGTGTGACAGTAAGTGTATAAGTTCCCAGAAATGTCCTCACTCCCAACGTCTAGAGCTCACCGACTCCAAGATGACATATTTGCTCTTGATGTTTTTTGTGTGTTTTTTTCTTTTTTTTTATCAAAACCAAAAATTCTGAAATATATTGGGTATATTAAGTCTATGTTTTTTGTTTCCCTATGTTTCTTTACATAATAGTATTACTGTTCTGCAAGTGCAAAACTTGAGTCAAAGAAAAATAAATGTGATGGGTTTAGAGAAAGTCAAAAACATATTTCTTTGACAGCAAATTATACTTTTTTTTCTCTTTTCTTCCTTCATCTCATCCCAAACACAGTTATGAAGTTATGAGAAGCTGCTGGGATAGGGAGCCTACCCGGAGGCCTGGCTTTAGGGAACTGGCTGAAACACTGAAAGGCCTTCTGGCAGAACTTCCGGTCCTGGAGGCCAGCCAGGAGGCTACCTATATCAACCAGGGCCTGGAGATTGCTGCTGCTGTTGCTGCTGCAGCTGGTGGTGCCTCTCAGGATTCCCAGAGCGACTCTGGGGGAAGATGTGAAAACGTTTACCTGCCGAGTCCTGTGGGTGCTACTGCTGCAGCCAGAGATGAGGATGTGGAAGTAGAGGATGGCTATCTTAAGTACATTACTGGCTCAGAAGTTAAGGAGAATGATGATCACTGAAAACAAACAATGTTTTTGTATATAACGCAATGCTATTCTTCTCATGAACTGTGTGTGTGAAGAAGGAAGAGAGACGTTGTACGCATTTATATTCCACTCAGAGGCCTTTAAGGGCTAGGGGAGGGAGGAGGAAGTCAGGGGTGGCACTGACTCTCAACAGCTACCATTAAGTTCCCAGAAAACAAAAGATTTTACTTATTTAAAAAAACAAAAAAAATGCAATAAAAATGTTTGTATATCTTTGTTGTATACGCGGTTCACATTAAAACCACCTGCCTAATGTTGTGTAGGTTCTCCTATGCAACCAGATCAGATTACACCCGTTAAAGCATGACCATGGGACCTCCATGGATGCCCTGTAGTGTATGAAGGGTTGGTAGCAGATACTTCAGGTCCTGTGGATTGCAGGGTGGGGCGCCTGTGGATCAGACATGTTTCAGCACATCCAGCAGATGCTTCATTGACTCGGAATCTGGAGTCAGCTGGGTCATTGCATTAAAATTACAGGGTTTGGTCTCTACTAGACATGGACATTCAGCACAAAACACCAAAAAAAAGAGCAAATAAAAATAAATCTGTTTAAAAGTTACGAATAAAAAGTCACTTTAGAGCCTGCTGGAGAAGCATCACATTTTTAAGTTCATCCAGTGATTCATTAGTTCAATGACAGTTTCCTGTACCTCCATGGGTACATTATAAAAAAGATCTGCACATAGCTAATACTGCATACTTTGAATGTACCATTTCAACAAAATATTGAATTTCAATTCAGTTCAATTTTATTTATATAGCACAATTCACAACATATGTCATCTCATAATGCTTAACATAGTATGGTGAAGACCTTACGAATGTGAACAGAGAACCCAACAATCCAAAGTTGCCTATGGACTCCATCTGAGCAAGTGGTTGGCAACTGTGGGAAGGAGTAAAAAAAAAAAAACAAAAAAAAACAGGTAGGGGCGAAAAAAACCTTCGACAGAACCAGGCTCAGGAAGGCCGTCATCTGCCTCGACTGGTTGGGGTGAGAGTGGGGATGAGGGGGTGTGGGATAGCAGGAGGGGTTGAGGTGGGGATAGCAGGATAGCTGTTTATAAACTATTACCAAATATATGAGCAAAAAATAGATATTTACTTTAAAATACAATGACATGGCTCTGGACAAAAATATGACATGAGGTCAAGTAAATTCACTAAAAAACTAGTAATCATTTCAGTTGTAATTTTTATTGTAGAGGGATTGAAAAGTGACTCTCATCTGCTCTGGATTGGAATAAATCACTGTGCAGGACATGTAATATTAAAATCACCACATCCTGTATCCTGTAGAAAGAAATCCTGTCTTAATAGGAGCTAGAATTTAGTAATTATTAAGGGGGTGAATTAAGATTGTAAGATTCTTAGTCAAAACTTTTGCTGTGTAATATAGCATATTTTTAATCTTCAACATTAATGTAGGGACATAGTGCACCAGTTACATACATTATTATATCAAATGTGTGGTCAATAGAGAACAAAAAACTACAAACAAACAAAAAAACAATACATTTTGGTAGTGAAAACGACATGCTTAAATAATGTCTTAATTAACTTTTTTCAACTATTAGTGGGACTATGTCTGCATTCTGGCATTTACGGTACTTTTAGCAGTTTTGCTGGTCTACATACATGTACATCATCATTTTTGTATCCCTGCGGTTTATTTTTTTCAGCATTCCTTTATTTGTCTATCACTGTATTTCTGTTTCAACACAGACCCTTTCATGATGCTTCTCATTAATGTGACAGCATTTGCAAGGGACAGTTCCATGTCAGTTTTTCCCTAAAAGTTGCAACAGCATTCTTACCAGGTCTGATCTAGCAACATTTACATGTCATTTTTCAACATAGAACTATTTTAATATTGAGACACTGTGGCTGAATATTAAGTAATATCAAATTATTTTATGAAAAAAGTAATGTACAAATGAAATTATTAAATGAAATAATTATTAAACCATATACATTGCAAAATGAGAGTTATAATATAATGTATTTCATGAAAATGAAGACATGTATGATAAAAAAAAACAAAAAAAAAAAAACAAAACTGAGCGACTTGGAAAAAATGTCATTTCCTGAAGGCGAATATTCAGCTGTACGTAGTGCAGCATGTAGGCGTTTTTTCTTACTTTTTATAAAAAACTACAAGTCCCAGCACTGCTCCGGTTCTATTTGTTATTTTGCTGGCAGTGACACGTCACCTTACGTCACTACCGCACCTGCGCAGCCATCTTGAACCTTTACCGAGCAACGGACACAGAAAGGCAGGAAAAAGGAATAAAATATACCAACCTAAGCGAAGGAAACAGTGATATGTCTGCTAGAATTAAGGATATATGAACCAATAAAGGTCGAATACAGCAGAGCTACCAGGGGTCAGCAAAGGAGACGGTAAACAACCATCTAAGTGCCTCGGATACCCGGACCTACAAGTCATCTTTTTTGCCGGACTAGGAAGGAAGAGTCGATACGCCGACAGAAAAACATCTAGAGTGAAACCATGAATCCCGAATAGTGAGTTTTATGTGAAACATGCCTAACTGCTAGTCAGCATTTTATTATGTTCAGCCAAAAAGTAAATTGTATGTAATGTGGTTTATGGTGTAACCCTATGTAAATAATGCTAGGCTAATTGTGCTCTCGTTGAATTTAGTGGCAAACGTTAGCTAGCTGGTTCTCGTGAACAGGGCGCGGACAGCTTCTTTAATGTGTCAGTCTCGCGAATGTGTTTTCTCCCAACGTCAGCTGACAGCTTGCTCGTGCCTCACCGTGTCGATTGTGGCACGCGACCTTTCACGGGACAAATAAATGAGCAGTCCAGTGTAAGAGTTGAAACCAGAGTGAAAACGTCCAAAGGAAATGCTGCCATTGTTCACTTCTGAAAGTAGAATGGAAACAAGGATTAGCTTCTTAGTAATGCTACATAAAGTAGTGAAGTCATAGATGTCGGATGGCTGACTAGTAGCCTCGATAAATAGCCCAGTCTGTTGTTTTTTTCATTTGGGCACATCGTTTTTTGGGGGGCACAGATGCATGCTATATATAGGTTTCATAACTCGAACACGGAGAAGACATTAGTTTTTATTTATTCTGCGCAGATGGCACTATTTGCATGCCAATAATTTATAGGTATATGTAGGTTTTGTAGGTTTTATAGTTGATATGTTTAACTATTTGGTTGGTCACAAGGCATTCGTGTAAAGTTCAGATCATGATTACTGCCCTACCTGCTTTGTAATTATAATGATAGAAGCTAAAATTGGCTCCATTGTGAGACGGGGCTAACGTTAGATGATACGCCAGGTAGCAGGTGTTTGACGGCTGATCCTGCAGCCCTGAAATGAGAGGACACCCTCTTGTCACCGAATCCCTCACTCGGTGCTGAAACGGACGCAGTGGTTGTCCCGGAGCCCACAGCTAAAGCTTGCTTTTAAATCCTGATGGAACCTCGTCGAACTTGCTTAGCTAAGAACTCCACACCCTCAGCAGACTGTCTTTATTCTCCTGCATGTTTGCACATACTGCAGTGTATAATATTGTCTCTGTGCGTGTCGTAGTGCACTGTATCTTGATTGGACTTGTATTGCTATGAAACCTGATTTTGGCATATTATCCACTTTCAAAGATTTTCCAATAGTTTGTAGCTAGGCACCCCTCATGAAGAATGCCACTTTCAGTTTTGTTAGTGAATAAATAACATCATTAATTCTGTATAAGCTCCTGATAGGACCACTTTTTGATGTGCCAGTGTGTTAGTGTTGCTTTATATTGTCCTCCAGCATGACACTTAATATTTTTATCTCACTCTTAGGTCAATCAGGGAACCCCATGAATCATGTCATCGTATAGCTCATGAAAAAACCTCGATGTGGATCACAGTTAATTTATTTATACCTTATTAACATCTAATAACCCCATTATTAATGACTAATTAACACGTATAACTGGAAGCCTGATGGCCATTTGATTCTTAACATTCATCAATTTAAATGCATTTCTAAAGACAATAAGTCACAGCTTATATCAGTTTATTGTTCCTGGCTAAGTGTCCTGTAGTAACAAATTCATTTTATTTTCAATTTCTTTTTTTATGAAGAAAATACTTGACATGTCTGTGTTTACCAAAACTTTATTGTAGAATAGCTTTCACAGATGTTCAAAGGCAAGCACATTAAAATTAACAGTCCAACAAAACAAACTCTCCGCCAAAGATCTAATCATACAGGATTTTGTCAAGAGGATCATCATATTGACTTTCTGACCTTACTGACCTGTAGTACATAGTCTGTGGTGGCTGGTTAACTTGTATCATTGGATCTAAACCCTGAATATTCCCAATCAGGAGGTCCTGTATCTTCACCCTACTCTGCTTGTTCCTAGAATTTCCTGTATCATAACTGACCTCTGGTGGTGCTTGCTGTGCATTATAATAGGTCATGTTAATAGAGCATCTCTGTGTCAGTTATAAGAAAAAAAAGAGCAATATGTAGATTTTTAAATACTGCAGTATACCCCAGTGCAAGCCTAACTGAAACATCTGTATTGCACAGTATGAACAGTAAAATTTTTTTCAGTTCAGCCAAAATTGTTATACTTAAGTATTTAATGTAGAGACCAAGTCAGTCTGTAATCAGTTAGTATAGAGGTCCTATGTCCACCTGTCCATTCATCCATGCATCCATCCATCCATTATCTATACACCGCTTAATCCTCACTAGGGTTGCGGGGGCGCTGGGGCATATCCCAGCCGACTCAGGGCCAAGGCAGGGGACACCCTGAATCAGTGGCCAGTCTATCACAGAGCTACACTAGAGACAAACAAGCACACTCACATTCACACTGACGGACAATTTAGAATCACTAATTAACCTCAACATGTTTTTGGACTGTGGGAGGAAGCTGGAGTACCCGGTGAGGACCCACGCTGCACAGGGAGAACATGCAAACTCCACGCAGAAAGATCCTAGGTGTCCTAACCGGGATGCAAACTGGGGATCTTCTAGCTGTGAGTCGTCGCTAACAACCGAGCCACAGTGCAACCCTCCACCTGTCCTACTAAGGACAAATTTCTGTCCTACTAAGGACAAATTTCTGATAGCTTGCAATAGGGTGTTTTATATGAGTATTTAATTTTTAGTGTGACATGAAATGTGTAAGTAGGACAGAGTACCAAACACTGACTACAGAACACTGGTCTCATTCATAATCTTGTTTATGTATTCTCTGATCAGATAGTTTGTGATTCAAAAATTCCATTTTAGATAGTTATGTTTTGGTTGAGTTAATCTTTTTTTCCTTTTAGACAACCCTAAAAATAAGTCTTGCTATTTTTAAAATTATGCTCTCAGGAAAAGTAAGGTTTTGTATCAAAATCCAAACATTTGGATTGTGTTGTTATTGTTAGCTGACAGGCTCAGGTTTAGCTGCCTGTTTTCACAGGGAACAGGTTTACATTACACTTTATGTATTCCAAGTTTATACAGTTACACTGAAACAGTATAAGGTTGTGTGCTGATGATAGTCTGTGGCTTGCTTGTTCCAGTGAATAAAAACTGATGAGAGGTCTTGGTAACCCTCAGCATAAGTCGACATCAACATAAGATGTACAAATGTGAACTAGGCTGATTACTCCATTGCAGCTGCATCTAGTGTTTGTGAGATATTTTCAGTTGATTAAGTGTCAGGCTGTGGTACACAGCAACTCTCAGTTTCCTATGACACAAGAATAGCAGTGGCATTGGGCAATTCTCTACAGCTGTCTGTGCTGTGGGTCAAATTCATGTGATGTTTTCTTCTCAGTGACTGAGGGTGAGCAGATGGTGGGTAATGTTGTCACTTTGGGAGAACCTTTGAGTAGGGTCAGATATTAAACTACAATGCTTTCTGACTGTTTAGTGAATAATATCTGTAAGTTGATTTTTTTTTTTGTGAAGTTTGTACTGTGTTTTATTTAGTGCACTCTCTTCTACACTATTCAAGTTTTTTTGGGGGCTTTTTTGTTAAACGATAAGGCTGTAAAAAAAAAAAAACATGTTTATAATCTTCAAAGTAAAGTAAAAATTTTGTACATTTTGTTTCATTATCCAATTTCAGTTTCGTATAGGTGCTTCAATGGAAAGGTTTTAAACAACATATAGCACTAATTCCATGGCCAGATTAAACTGGCAGAGGACCCTGGGCAATGAGATAGGCTAACAGCCAGTCAATTTAATAAGTTTCTTCATTGTCATTACAAAATTCACCTTTTTTATTAGCTGAAATATTATGATCAGTACTTACTTTAAACTATTGATACTCATATGAGAGAATGAAGTTGGCTCACCCAATGCAATTGAATTAGCACAAATGAATTAGCACTCAATAATCCTGGACTTTTGGGTTCAGGATATGTCTTTCTCCTACTGTTTACAAATCCCAAAAACCAGCACTAATATATCTACTATCAAGTGCAACGTGTATCCTGACAGGGTTTCAGACTACGACCAAAATGGTTGCATTTGATTACATTGGTAGACGTGCATTATGATTATTAAGCTGTAGCTGTATTGGTGTCACTGTAGCTGCAGGTAGCTACTGTGTTAACCACAGTGGTGGAAAGTAGTACTTTTAGAACGTCGATGTTCTGCTGTATTTATGCTTAAAAATGAGGTCTTCTTGAGAAAAGGGGAGCACACCTAAATGCGCTGTTTTTTCAGCTTATCGAAAAGAACGCATGTAGAAAAAAATCACTCAGTGTCATCTTTGGCAAATCTGACATTAGCGCACCCTTGTTGACTCTTTTCAGAGTAATTTTTGGTCACATCTATCTGAGCACACCACAGGCTGCAATGTGGGGTGTTTAGGGAACATTGATAAATTGTAGTGTCTATCGATAAGAAAGTGTTCAGCAAATCATATGATGCCTGCGACCAGGTGGGAGGTGCAACCAAATGAGAAAGCTGGTCGCACCGGTGCTACCAGTGAAAATGTTTGTCTGAGCGCTGCCTTATAAATCTTAGTCTTCTGTGCCATAGAGCTCCTTTGTTGTTCAAAAAACTTTAGCAACAATGAGCCACAGTGTTGTACAGGGGAACATCTTCCTTCATTATCATGAATGCACACTGCAGTTTATTTTGATACAGGCTGACACATACCTTCCTGGTGTTCTAAATACTTGCTGCAGCACCACTTGTAGATCAATCTGGACCTGAAACATTTGTAACTGCAGTGCAAAATTTTAAGAAATTGTTGAGCTTTTTTTTTTTTTTTTTTTTTTTAAACTGGATCTGTACACAGTACTATCAGAAAGTTTTTAGACTCCTTCTCTTTATACACATTTTGTTATGTTGCAGTCTTAAGCGAAAATCATAGAAATTCATTTTCCCCTCAGCAATTTGGACTCAATACTAGGGATCGATCAATCATTGATGCCGATATTTGGCCTTTCTGATTATTGGTATTGTTTTTCCTGTTGACCAATTTGCACTACTTTGCCTCTGATACATTTGGCTGTCTGCAGTCGCTCTGTGGTCTCAAGCAATGCCGTGCCCACAGCAATTAGCTATTTGCTTACACATTAGCATAAACAGTCAACCACTGGAAGCTATTGTTTACACATAGGGACAGATGTGCACATTTGCTGCTCTGATAAATTAGTGGAGCTGTGCTTAGAACGATAGGTAGCACATGTTGCTGAAGCGGTAATAAACACCTCAGTTTTCCACAAACATACCAGATCTCCTCATTATACAGAAAACAGCCCAATAATTTATTTTGGTGTTGTTGCAGGTAGAACTTGTTTTGTCGATGATGTTGGCCTATGACTATTACTAAGAGGCTTGCTTTGCCTCTTAGTCTGTGACTAACACCAGGAGGATGACCTGTAACGTCTCTCTTAAGTAAGATTAACTTGAACAATCTACTCTAACTGACTGACGCGTCCTTCATTGGATGCGTCATCATCCTTCATCCCCAAAAGAGACAACCTGCAAAAACTGAACAAGAAGCGCAGCCATTGCCACAGATCAGGACATTGGGCACTTCATAGTTGCTAAAGCTGCACTAACGACTAATGGCTAAGAGGCAGCCACAGATTGCCCTAAGACATTGTCTGGAAAACAATAGGAAATAATGCTTTAAGATTAGGCTTCTGTGTTCAGTAAGTGTGATTGAACAGTGAAAGGACTTGAATTGGTCTTACAGTAAATTGGTGAGCTTTTAAGCATTATGTGATGCTCTAACCTCATCATTCCTCTTTCTATTGTACATATTTAGCCACGGTCTTCCTTATAAATGATGTAGCCTAGTTATGAATGACCAGTTTCCTGATATCACATGGTGTTAATATATAGCATTTAATGTATGTCAGTTCCATATATCTATTGGCTTTCCTTGATTACCAATGCTAAAATTTGATATTAGCCCAGAAAAAAAAACATATTGAGCTATCTTTATAATGAAGAGAAGAAAAAACATATTTTTTGCAGATTTACAAAAAAATATTAAACAGAAATGTCAAATTGACATCAGCATTTAGACCTTTTACTGAGGATTTATTTCAAGCACTTTTTGAAGCGTTTAAAGCTTTGAGCCTTCTTGGATATGACACAACAAGCTTGGCAACATCTGGAGATTTTCTGCCAGTCTCCTTTGTAGATCATCTCATCCTCTTGTCAGGTTGGATAGAATAAGGATAATGGAGATAAGGATATCCCTGTAGTTTGCTTTGTTTCCTTAAACCCTTACCAGTCTACCTGTCACCAAAAAACACTCCCACAGCATGATGCTGCCATTGCTTTACTGTAGCAGTATTGGTGAGAGTAGTAATGCTGTCAAAATCTTAAAAATACACATTCCGAGTACACAGAAAATTTGGTTGATTTTGGAGGCTCATTTGTGATAGGGCTGTGGAGTGGCTGGTTGGTGATGGACCCTTTTCTGTCTTAGCAGATGTTTGTGGAGAGCCTGGTGCTAAATCACTTGCAGATGGCTTGATTTTTTTCCATTAATTCTTTTTATTGGTTCGTGAAATTATAAAGAGAAGGGTTTTTAAAGTTCAGAAAATCTATGATGTTTCCAATGTCAATGACTAATCGTGTTTAATAATCTAGATCTCTATATGTGCATGATCTGTTTTTAGGAATATATTTTTTTTAGAACATTTTTAGTTGAAGCCAATAGGTTAGCAACATATTTTTGGTTTTGTTTTCAAAGAAGTTGAATTAGTTGACAATAAGAAAAGTGCTTATACTTCGCTAAATAAGGTATAAAATATTTTTCATCTGTCTTTGTCAAGACTCAGGAAACATTACTGGTACTGGTATTGAAAATGTTCAACCTGTTTTCTTTTTGTTTATTTCAGTGACTATCTGTTCAAACTCCTGCTCATTGGAGACTCTGGAGTAGGAAAGTCCTGTCTTCTGCTGCGCTTTGCAGTAAGTAGTTGTGTCTCACCCTGTGAAACATGTTTTTTCATTACTGTTAGCCTCTAAATGTCTCTGTTCCAACTGCAACCTTTAGTCTTTGCTCATTCTGCTGCTGGCTTGATTTAGTCCTGTTCTCCCTCCCTTTATCTGTCCCCCTTCTCTCCAGGATGACACCTACACAGAGAGCTACATTAGCACCATCGGAGTGGATTTTAAGATTCGCACCATTGAGCTGGATGGCAAGACCATCAAACTGCAGATTGTAAGTCCACACATAAGCACAGAGCACTCTCTGTAACTCTTACCTTCTCACCTGAACTGGGGCTTAGATCCAGTCATTGTTATCAAAACACATGAAAGTCTTTGTGTGTGTGTGTTCACATTTTGCATTCAAACCAACCTGTAATTGGAGCCTGTTTTAGTTAAGAGAACAGGCTGTGCCACACAAGTATGTCCAGCTTATTAAGTTGATACACACACACACCTACACACACACACACACACACCTACACACACACACGCACACATGTACACACAAAACTAAACCATACTTCACAGTGTACTTCTGGTTTCTAGTAATTGCAGAGATGAATAAAGTTTCTACAAGTGCTATTTTCTACTGTGAAATTGTTATTACCAAGAACATGGAACTTTCCAACACCTGAACTTCTCAGAGCTTTGTAAGTCAATGATACAAGGTTCTCTTTGTATTTGCTACTCTATTTTCCAACTGGAACACTTCAGACTTACTATATATCATCAAAGTCATCAGTTATATACCTATAACTGCCATTTGTATGCACAGTTTGTTAGGTGAGTGAAGTAAACAGCTGTGGAAGCAGGGAAGCTGATATAACGACTGCTCATTTTCTTTAATATTGCCTCCATGATCCTGCTTGGGCTGGCACAAGTCAGTCAGTGGTCCAAAATAACACCCAGCATGTGGAGTTACCTACGTTTTGATCTACAAAAGTTCTGTATTCTCTATAATTCATATTTTCCCTGGACTGCTTTGTTATGCCTTGCATCCTTATTTCTGGGAAACCTGTTTACTGAGACAGGCAGGTCCCCCTGAATAGCCTTCCCTACCCTTGTACTACAGAAGGCCTTGATGGTCTTGTTGTGATGCAACATCACATCTGATTGAGCAATCACATGACTTCAACCCCTACAAGTACTTGGCATTTGGATTCAGTGTCACTTGCTCAGGAGTGCTCAAATTTAGTTCCAGGAAGTTTCCTCTAAAGAGGAGCAGAGAATAGTGAAAACAGAAACTGAAAACAACATTGACCACACATTAATTACATTCTGCAATGAACTAAATATGACTGTTCAATACAGTACATTTCAAAGAATAAAAAAAACCCAAAAACATTGGTATTGCTTATTTTGAGTAAGTCTTTATGTTGGCAATGTAATGGTTGAGAACACGACATAAATTATTGTTATCCATAATGCAGTTAACAATTTGAATTTTTGATTAATTGTTTCAGTCATAAAATCCCCCAGTTTTCAATTTATGAGAATGAGGAAAAGCAACAAATTCACACGTATAAGAAGCTGGAACCAACAAATATTTGTATGATCAACCAAATCCATCCATCCATTTTCTATACACCTCTTAATCCTCACTCGCGGGGGGGCTGGAGCCTATCCCAGCCGACTCAGCGTGAAGGCAGGGGACACCCTGGACAGGCCGCCAGTGTATCGCAGGGCTACACTGAGAGACAGACAACCAAGCACACTCACATTCACACCTACAGACAATTTAGAATCACCAATTAACCTCAGCATGTTTTTGGACTGTGTGTGAGGAAGCCGAGAACCCAGAGAGAACCCACGCTGCATTCGGAGAATATGCCATGCCAACTCCACATAGAAAGATCCTGGGCGTCCTAACCGGGACACGAACTGGGGATCTTCTAGGTGTGAGGCGACTGTTCTGACAACTGAGCCACCGTGCAGCCCATCAACCAAATCAGTCACTCAGATTATTATACATTACTCGAAAATATTTAAAACTATGTAATAGAACTGTCAATAAATTCCTACACCTGGTAGATAGCCTCTATCATCCCCACCAGTTTTGACATACAGCCTTCAGAGTTCAGAAGGTTTGATCATGCAGCACATGATGACTTTTATTTTACATTATATTAAAAAGGTGTTACATGTAACCTGTCTCCATGTTAATCCCTGTAAATTTGAATATTCTGTTCTTTTCTATTCTGTTCTGTTCTTTTTCATGAACTCCAAACCCTGAAGGTCCTGATTATTAACTAAGGTTTATTAAATTAAAATATTTGTAGTAACAAAGTGCATTAACAGCGGTGTTCCAAGCTGTCATAAACAGTCTTTGATGGAGGTCACATTGAAAAGACACAAATCAACACTAGCAGAATTCGATTTTCTTATACTATCAAGTTATTTACAAAATTGATGTTTAAAATCAATGGATTATATGTAGTAGAATGCTCACAGCAAACCTCTTTGCCATTAGGGGTAATACTTAATTTATCCTGACCCTTTCTCTCTCTTTTTGTCACTGTGTGTCTTTTAGTGGGATACTGCAGGTCAGGAGAGGTTTCGTACTATCACCTCCAGTTACTACCGTGGAGCCCATGGCATCATAGTTGTATATGATGTGACAGATCAGGTGAGTCAGCGGTCTGGACGATATTCTCAGAACCAGAAATCATAGTGACGTTGTTGCTTTTTTTTTGTTTGTTTGTTTTATATATATACTTTTATTTGTAAATCAAATTTCAAAAAGCAGTTTTCAGGCGTGTTTATTCAGAAGTAAAACCAAAAATATTTTCCAAATCATAGAACTTTTATTTATATTTAAAGACTAGTGAGTAAAAGTAATGACCATGTCAGACTTACAGTAGGGACACAAAAAATTGTCATAATGAATTGCAGAAAAACAGCAGCCACTGTACAACAGACACAGAGACTAAAAAAGTCTAAACAAATAATAAACAGTAGAGCCTCTAGAGCAACAGGATTTATGGCAGGGCTTTGGTGTTGGCTTTCTTGACATTATACAGGTGTAAATGTTTTCCTATTTCCTCTGACTGTTTCCACAATGAACTCTTTATTGCATAGTCATTAGTGTGTAAGAGCTTATTTAATGTCCATATTGGCATTCTCATTGTGCAGGAGTCCTATAACAACGTCAAACAGTGGCTTCAGGAAATTGACCGTTACGCCAGTGAAAATGTCAACAAACTTCTGGTGGGCAACAAGTGTGACCTGACTACTAAGAAAGTAGTGGACTACACAACAGCGAAGGTATGGCTTCTTTCTGTTCAAGAAGTTTACATGTTGACATTGGCTCCAGTGAGGTATGGATACACATTTTCATGGATTAATATTCACAAGAATGATTGTTGCTGTAACCAAACAATGAGCATGCCTCAAATAACAGGCAAAAAAATGCAGTGAAAAGCAGATGAAAAACATCAATGAGTGGTGGTATTGCACCATAATGCCTCACTTAGTAAATTCTAAATAACAACAGAGTCATGTATATTTATTTTTTTTTACATTTCTGTTAGCATCGATACAGTGAAACGTTTCCAGTGCAGGATTTTTCACATTAAAAAAAAAAACAACTTAATGACATGTCAGGCAAAGGATGATGCCCATTAAGGTGCTGGAGAATGTTTGGTATGACTGCAGAAAGTATTGAGTTCTTGGTGGTAATTTAACTATGATGGATTATCAGCAAATTGGAAGCAACAGAAAATTTCTATTGAAAATTGTATTTCTGTCAGGAGCGAAAGTAAATGCAGAAGAGTGGTGACATGACATGATTTATTTGCACTGATAAAAATTACTGCATTGGAGTTGTACATTATGCATTCAAGAAACCAGTATTAATAGCAAAGATGTTAAGTTTATGTTAGTAGATCAGCTGGGAAAACAAAGGTAAATTAAGCAACAAATAATGATTATAATAATAACTTTATAAAGGGTTGCTTGTCTTGCCAATGAGGTAAATATTTAGGGAAATCATTTTGGTAAATTATTTGGTAAATCATAAAAAGGGAGCAACGATGAAGAGCTTTCTGAGTGACTGTTATGTGTTGGTTAATTAGCTAACAACAGGATATAATGTGCACCTGTGCGTTTTACCATTTTGGTGAAGTTCAAGCTGTTGGAGCACACTGAGTTTGATAATGTACACTGATCAAACACACACGCGCACTTTATGTTAGATATCCATATTGTAAATATTCAGTTTATTATGATATAAACCAGAAAAAAGGAGGTACTCAGACTGGAGAAAGGCAAACCGAGAATGTTTGGTGTTTTTCTAAGGGAATTCACTCATCGTTAATCCAAATACTTGTCACCCAAATTTTGAACTGCATTGTCTTTATGAGCTCTGTTCTGTCTGTTGTCTGCCCTGCTGCCTGACTTTAACATGAGTACAACTCTGCTCTTTCATGGCAGGAGTTTGCTGACTCTTTGGCTATCCCCTTCCTGGAGACGAGCGCCAAGAACGCCACCAACGTAGAGCAGGCTTTCATGACCATGGCGGCTGAGATCAAGAAGCGTATGGGTCCAGGGGCTACAGCCGGTGGCGACAAGCCTAACTTAAAAATTGAGAGTACCCCTGTCAGGCAGTCTGGAGGGGGTTGCTGTTAAAAGGATCGCTCGCCCCCCATCACCCCAGCCATCACCTACACCATTTCCACCGAAATTTCCCTTTCTTCTCCTCTCTGTGCTTTCTTACTTCACCTCTGCCAGTCCCACACCTCAGCATTCCTCCATAACACCATGTAACCCACTCACACCTCCCTGACTATCCCTCTGTCAGCCTACTTGGGCATACAGGACGGCCGGGCAAACAGACGAGCAATCTGTGAGTGTTAAGGTCTAATTGAAACTTAGGGATGGCCTGTACCTCCTCCAAAAAAACGAAGTGGAGAGGGCAACCAGTGTGTGAGGGTCGGGGATGGGTGGTGGTGGTCAGGGGGGGCAGAAACAGACACTGAGACAAGTTTTACTTTCTTCCAAAAGGACAGAAAGAAAACGGATATGAGGGAAGATTGGTATTGATTCAGAGAGAAATGGAGGCAATGGAAGATTACATTTAGATACAAGTGAGCTTATCTCCACACATACTCTCACATACACACTTGGACACACACACACACACACACACGCTGTGGTGGGGTGGTACGGGTTAAAGAGATTTAAGCCTTTTGGCGTAACACATTTCTCCTCAGGCTGTGTCTGTCTTTGTCGATCTCATCTTATGCCCCCCCCAACCTCATCCCACCATACCCCTAATTTTTGCTACCTGGAATTATTTACCTGCACAGTCACGCCACTGTAGATGTTCTGTACACAGTAGTAGTAGGACACGTTCCTGAATAGCAGCAGCCTGCTAACAGTGACTCATCATTGCTATTTCCTGATGAGGGTCCAGGGAAAGCCTTGTCAGGGAGCCTCCTCTCCTCCATCTGTCCTATTCTTTCAGCCTGTGCTCCATTTTCTTATTGTGTGTTCAGATAGAAAGCAAAGTGAATGTTTTTACCTTATGTTTGAGCAGTGTGTGTTCTTTTACCTCAGGCAGCCAGTGTACCAGCTGCACAGACATTAGCAGTGGGCTAGGTAGGGAGTGTCGGATCTTCTTTTCTGTGCTTTTCCTCCAGTCTCTGCTTGTTCAACCTGTGTCTGTATGTTCGTGAAGGAGTTACATTTTTCCTCAGATTTTTAACTAACACAGTCTCTTCAGCTTAATACTCAAATTGCTGTCAAACAGCACTAAAAAGGTTATTTGTCAGTGACTTTTAATGCAGTCACATTGTTTCCTATCTGTATGAACACACCTTTAACTTGTCATTCTGCTTCAAACAAACTTGGTCTCTGCTCGAAGGCAATTCATGGTGCTGTGCTCAGTTGTAACCATGTAAAGTGACAGAAGGAGCTGTGTGAAGAATGACAAAAAAAAAAAAAGAGAGCTTACTTTCATGTCTCTTCATGCTGGCCAGTTGTGCAAAGTCAGTCTGATTGTCAGATTATAGTTACAAAATTACCTCCAGGGTTAGAAAGGAGGTTTCACTGATAGAATCTACTACCGGCGTTTAGTTTGAAAAATACTGGGGCCTTTAGTACATCAGAAAATGATAGAGCAACGTTTTTTTTTTTCATTCTCTTGAAACAAGCTCGGTAGCATAGTGAATACTTGTGGGGGTAGTTGTCAAGCTGCTGGTGTATAGTTAGAGTTAGCAAGCCTGCTACTTTGGTTGCTGATAGTAAGTTAACACACTTTTACTCAGTGTACCATCGACTCCTGTCTACAAGCCATACCTCTTTTGTGGAGCTGGATGTATGGAAGTGGAAAATACAACACAGCTAGGAGGATAACATTCTCTCTTCTGGATGGTTTGGCTTGCAATTGGTCAAGGAAGCAAAGGGATTCCTTAACCAAAGACTCAGAACAGGAAAACAGGCAGCTCAGCAAATTCCATGTGTAGAAGTCAGAGCTGGAAAGGAAGTGACGGTTGTGAGATTTGTAATATGTGGTGTTTGGTTTTTTTAAGCTATGATTTCATGGTTTAAAGAAAGCAATGTGAAAAAGTGCTGTAACATTTAGCAGAGTGAAATCCTGGAATGACACTAAATATAACAGGGGGGCAGATAACAGCACAGATGATGGGGCATGCCAGAGCTGGGCTGGGGTGGGGGTGGGAGGGCACTTGGTTCAAGTTGTTTTGGCAAACAGAAACAATTGGCAATATCCTGCATTGATCTTACAATTTGTGTTTTATTATTGTTATGATTTCATAGTTTGTTTGTTTTTTTTATGGGGACTACTTACACGATTAGCTTCACCTCTCATGTTCAGCATATGGCAGATAGGTTTTAGGATGTTGTTTTGTTCTTGCTTGTTTGCAGATGAAGCTGGGGTAGAGATGCGGTGTGGTTGTGTCTATTGCCTGAGCAGATGGGGTCTTACAAAAGCTGCTGTTCCTTCCCTGAGATCAACCAATCTGTCAGACACAGTTGTCTCTTACTTGGACTCTCGGGTCATGCCTGTTTTTTTTTTTTTAAACATGCATGAGCATCCCTGGTTCCTCATCAGATTCCTTAGTGCTCCAGTTTGTGCCTCCTATGTAATCCTCCTCTTCATGCTTGAGTCTGATTATGAAGTCCTTGGTATACTTCAGTAGAACGAGTTCATATAAAATATTGTTCAAACATGCCTATGTAGAGATATGCGTACAACTGTTATGAAGCAACATACTCAAAGTTCACATACTGAATTGTACAGATTAGGCTAAATTAAACAAAAACTACCCTGCAAGAATTGAAAAATGTACAACCCTCCTCCTGAAGCTCTTACTTCTCCCCTCTGTTCTAAGCCCCTCCTCAACAGAGAAAGGATGAAACTTCACCTTATGACAATTGACTCCACCAGCGATAAAGACCATTAAATGCAGTTGAAACACAATTTTGGGATTTCGGTCCAAGGGTCATTATGGAGAAGTACAAATTTGACCAGAAATTCAGCGTTCAGTTCAGATTTGACAATTCAAACTTCTGACTAAAATGTAGATCACTGTGGTTATATACTCAGCACTGGTCACTTAAAAAGAACAAACTGGAGTGAGCAGTAAGTGAGCAGATTTGAGAATGTTTCACCTGTAATTGTTGATCATGACTGCCAACAGTTGTAGTGTAGTAATGGTGGAATCAGAGAGATTGGAGTCTGTTTACGTGCCCGGAGCTCTGTGCAGCTCACTGCTTCTCAAAGTTGTGTTAAGTCACAGTGGTATTTCCAGGGAAACTGGAAGGAATGTGAGAGACGGAGCATCCCCCTGGCCTATTCGAGGGGCCTCTACACAGCAGTGAAACTCTGCTTCTTTACATGATACCTGATTAATCTGAGCCACTGCTTTTTACCCTGTTTGACAAGACAACTGGAAAATATGCAGACATTGTTGAAGAAAGCTGCTCACACATGAAAAAAAAAAAAATACTGTACTGCGGTAGCGTTAGTCATTCTGATGACTGTTCTTTATTGGTGTCTAACTGTACACATCCGCAATGGTCAGTTTCATCATGTGCGTTGTGTTTGGGGGTGTCAGGAGGTTCAGGGACTGACTGGTCTTGGTTTGCTGACCGGGTATGAACTCCCAACTCTCCCTTCAAGCCAACCATGTCACTGCAACTTGATGAATTCCTCAAGATCCCCAATGACCAGTCCCTGCTCTCACATGAGGGAAGCTCACTGAGGTTTCATTTGCGCTCCCAGTTCTCTACAAGAAGATCATGGCAACATTTCAGACAGAACAAGGCCTCAGACTGAGGCATCACAAAGAGCACGAGTCCACTTCCATTTGTGAAACCTCTTCACTGACTGACGCTCGCTCAGAAAGCTTCAACTCTGCACTGATCAGAGTGGAGCAGATGTGACGTTACCTTCTTCTGTATACATTGGCATTACCCGGGGATGAGGTGTGTACGTGTGCACCTGCGTGCGCATGTGTGTATGTTTGTTACAGCCCTGTGGAGCCAAACTGGAATGCTACAGTTTTTAGTGCAGAACTGGAATCTGACACTGAGGGGGAGGGAAGGCAGCAGCAGTAAGCATATGTATGTGTGTGTAGAGCAGGGCAGGGTTGCATGTAACATTCCGGAGCTTTTTGGACACATGTTGGTATCCCGGCATCACGCCAGTCTCACTTTAGTAGATGCAGAAGAAGCAATCATTTGAAATTTAACACTTAACACACTCTCTCGCTGTCTCTCTCTCTCCCTCTCTCTCGCTCTTTCTCTCACGCACACACACATACACACACAGACACACACACACATACATATATATAGTGGATGTTTTGCGCTTTCATGAAGATTTCATTTTTTAAAAATCTTTTTCTTTCAACAGGTCTTGATATGATACTGATTTTAATGTATTCATTGAATACTGTACTGTGTTGTCTAGTCCATGGAAGTATGAGGGGACACTGGGCAGGGTGGGCCTTCTGATGAGGGTGGGGTTAAACACATATAGGGTGGGGCTTCTGCTTATGAATGTGATTCTGATGAAACAATGCTTGACTTTTCTTCTTTAGCTCTCATTTTGTATTTTTTTTGCATTTAAGGTTTTTTTTTCCCTCCTTGTCATTTGCACACTGTTCAGTGGCTTAATAAAGGCACTCACTATGTGGTGTTTGTTAATAAAAAGCACCGGGCGGGAGCTCGCCTGTCACCTTCTGTCTTTTATTTTCTTTTTGGCTTGTTCACTTTGGTGCTGTCTCCCTGCTGAGTTTGATCATGTTTTTTTTTCTGTACATATTATAAATATATATATAATAAAATGATGAAAAGGATCAATGTCAACATAAGAGTAAGTTTGGTGTTTTTACACAACAGTACCTGGAAAAATGGCTCAAGGTCTGTAGTAAGGTTACTTTGGTGGGCATACTGCACCCATGAGTCCACAGATTTGTTCAAGACGGAAATTTTTTCATCTCCCTGAGTCCACAAACGTCTGTTCTTATCCCTCCTTGAATGTCCGAGTGCATTAGTATTCTGCATGCTCAGAATACGACCTGCTATGTATTTATGCATGTATAACACAGTCCTACAAGTGGACTACAAAAATGGTGTAGTAGCAGCACACACTGGACATAAAAGATAAATGTAGCCTCTAGGTCTATAAAGTGAGGCCAATGCGCAAGTACTGTAAACCTCCATTTTTTATAACTGCCAACAAGGGGCAACTCCTCTTGTTGCGAAGTCTAATTCTATCAAAGTCAATGAGAAAATGGCCCTACTTGTTCCTTAAACTGTTACGACAGTGAAATGGGGTATCATGTAGGCAGTGCTACCTTATGATTGAGAGGTTGCCACTTATCATAGTGATGGCATCCTCATGTTTTCCAGTCAGATCCACTGCTTGCTTGTGACATCTGGTTTCAAAAGACCAAGATGGTGACGACCTCGTGCCAAACCCAAGGCTTCAAAGTCTACAAACCAGTAAGTGATGCTACTACATCCTTCTTTCCTTCTTTCCTTTCCTTTCCATCCTTCTTCATCACAGGTTCCACAGTCAGCCCAAATATGGAAAAATGTGCCAATATTAGGCTCACACCGATGCACATCCATATAACCTAAACTTAACGAAATCTGACAACTATTGCACATTTGAGTGTGCTCGCAGTGAATTGGGCTGATATTGCAGGGTACTTGTAGTTAAGCAACTTTAAGTCAGATATTTAAAGAAAAAATTAATTAATTAAGCTACTCATTTGTTCGAATCAAGATTTTTGTTCCCCTGTTATTTTCCCTGCACTCATTAGATTGTCTTCGAATGCCCCGCTCAACAGCTTTTTAGGGTTTTCTGTAAAGTCTTTGACAATGCCTAAAGAGGCATAAAATTAGTCTGACAACTTATATTCTGTTACACAATTTGATAAAGAGCCTTCAAACTTTGAACCATTTCTCCTCAACTTCACTGCTGTGTTGCTGCTCTCTGTCTTTCTAAAGCAGTATAATAATTCACCCTTCATGTTTGGTTAATGATTGTTTAGGTGGATGACAGCCTGAAGTCTCTGACTTACAGAACCGTCAGGCCTGCGCTGCAGGTGCTTTACTGCTGCTTGAGTGCATTCTTCTGTTGGCCCTCCAGCACTGCAGAGACAACGTACACAATATGACAGAAAGACTGTAAAGATATGCTGACATCCGCTTTGAGCATTATCTGACACTGTGTCAGATACATGTTGTAAAGTTCAGTACCATGTGTGACCAGTATGGGTGTCAGTGAGCTATTGCTGCTCTGACACTTCAGGGGTTATTTCACCCAAATTAGAAAGCACATTTTCTTCAGTTAGCCCATGCACACACAGTCTTTCGTTGTGCATAGATTTTTTTTTTTGCCCACATCGCAGTACAGTGGAGGTGAACAGAATTTAATTTCAATTTAAAAAGCAGTGCTTCTTCCAAAAACTTCTTGTGAGCTGTCATAATGATGTCACCAGGATTCAAGACTACAAATTTAAAATACCATCTGACAGAGGTCTAAGCTGCAGTTGCAGGAGTTATTATAATAGGGACTACATTTTGTCTTTGGATTCGTCTTTTGAGTCCTACAACTTATAAAAAGTCCACTGTTATGTTACTACAGTGTCCTTTTAGCATGTACTGACATCATATTTGCCAAAACATCTTTCACGGACAAGTCAATGCAAACAGATAGGATTTAAAACTTCTGGCAGCTCCTAGTTGTAACATCAAGAATACACTGTGGTAAAATGAAAGAATGCTGCTACACCTCATGAATACATTACGAAACTTTGATGTAAGGCTGATATTTCTTCTATGCAAGTGAATATTATATTTTGATACTGGAACATGGAAAGTGGTCACCACAACATTTAGGATTGGTCTTTCTGGGACCATAAACATTAGATTATATGTAACATCAGATTTCATGTCAGGCTTAACATTAGCTGTTGAGGTATCCGACTCTGGATGCTGGATACATGGACACTGTCATTAATTTATTCTAAAATATAAATTATTAGGGGACACATTAAGCTGAGGGTCTGGAAATTTTGATCCAAAACTTTACTTTCTGCATTCTGTTAAGTTTTTTGGCCAACAATTTATGCCATTTCTGTATTAATTTATGGTATAGATTTATTTTTTAAGGCGCTTGGCTCAGGTGGTAGAGCGGATTGTCCTCTAATTGCAAGGATGGCAGTTCCATCAGAGTCAAAAATCATGCCGAAGTTTTTTGCGTATTGTGCTGGTTTAAAATCTTGTAGATCTGATAAAAGTTTCTCTCTCTGGCCTTCGGGACCTATAGTTAAAACTTCTGTTTTGTCCTGGTTGAGCTGTAGGAAGTTCGCTGCCATCCATGGCTTGATGTTTAAAATGCAGTCAAAAAGGGTATCTATTGGCCCTGTGTCATCAGGAGACACGTCAACGTACAGCTGTGTGTCATCAGCGTAGCTATGGAAACTGACGCCATGTCTCCTGATGACGTCCCCAAGAGGAAGCATATAAAGATTAAAAAGAATGGGACCTAAAATTGAGCATTGGGGAACCCCACACCTAATTTTATGGGTTCCCGAGGAACACGTATCCATACTTAAGTAAAAACACTGGTCTGTGAGGTAGGAGCTGAACCAGTTTGAAACAGTACCAGAGAGGCCGACCAGGTACTTGAGTCTATTTCATAAAATTTGATGGTCTACTGGATGAAAAGCAGCGCTTAGATCCAGTAGAACCAACAATGTAAGTTTCTTTTTATCAAAATTCCCCCTGAAGTCGTTTAAAATCTTTAAAACTGCTGTCTCGGTACTGTGGTTCATCCTAAAACCAGACTGATGTCTTTCTAAAATGTCATTTCTGATTAAAAAGTCACTGACTTGATTAAAAATCAGTTTTTCTAAAAATGTTACTTAAAAAAGGTAACTGGGACACGGGTCAGCAGTTATTAAAAACAGTGGGATCTAAATTGCTCTTCTTCAGAAGACACCCGTCTGAAGAGAGCAATTCATGATGTTTAAAATCTGTTCCTCAAAAAAGATTTTAAAAGTGGTGTGGGAATTGGGTCTAAAAGGCAGGTTGTTGGGTTTACTCCGGAGAAAACTCGACCAAGTGTCCTTACATCAACCATCAACTATCAACCTATCATGTCTGTGATTATGATTCATTACATTAAGCAAGTTAACTGAAATGTCATACTGCAATGGAAGTCAGTGACAGTCATAGGTACATGTTCTCCATACGAGTGCACTGTTGCACTCTCCTGGACCCACCACAGGAAACAAGTCTCCCCGCCTCATCTATTACCCAGGCTAACATAGTGTAGCCGTCCTCTGCTGCGTGTCATCCACATGGCAGACGCCCTTGATTTGTACCCCTGCCTCTCCCTGTGGACCTTTAAATAACCACTCACAGTGAGCACATCATCTGTAGGTTCAGGCAGCTCAGCTGTAGCGCATCACCACATCAAGTGGAAATGCTGGAAAGGCAAATAGAGAGATACTTGACATTGAATATTATGATTTGTTCACACTGATATAAAAACCCTGCAGCAGCTTGGGGTGGGACTGCAACTGCCCTCTGCATCCACTTTTCACAGCAGAGATAAGATATGATAATATAGAGGATACAGGAAACATCTGTTCATGTCCAATCCAAAACACCATCACATCCTACTGTTGTAGCTCAGATAGGTGCAAAGGTGCAGCCTGTGGAACATCTGGGCAGACTGAAGGTTTTGTCAGTGTTTCAGTGTTAGTTCAACATTTCCTCAGCTGTTAAAGAGGTGCAGCTCTTCTGATGACAAAGCTGTTGTCTCCCCCCCCTTCTCTCTCTGTCTCTCCTGGTGGGAAGGCATGGGGCTGCTGCTGGTGACCTTGAGTTATTTTTAGCACAATGGGGGCGCTGCAAACTGGGAGCAAGGCTTAGAGACACTCGGTGGAGTCGGCAGCTTACCTCAGTTAAGTGAGCATGCTGGCTGCATCCACACAGGCAGAGGCCTCAATATTCCTCCAGCTCCATGCAAACACATGTAGAGCAGCATCCACACTACAACTCTGACTTTGTGCAGGTTTTTTAGGGATGATTAAGGTTGGATAAGCAAAACAGGTAAGTGCCCAGATGCATTCAAAGAACCAAGTTAACTCAATTTGTCGACACATAATTTGAGTAATTGCTAATCTGTTAGAAATTTCTTCCACTTAAATAGAAGATAAACTAAGGGGCTTAAATTCTAGTTTGAAGATTAAGAACTGATGACCACAGATGCACAAACTGTGCTTGATCAAACTGCTTTAAAAGTAATGAACTCACATAAAGCTTGGTAAAATGTTGTATTGTTCCATCAAAGGAGAACTTGCTTTGAGCATCAATACATCTGAAAATATTTTCTTAAATGACTAATTGTCTGACCAACTGCCTAAAACCCAAGATGTCGAGTTTACTGTCATACACATTTGGACACAACCAAATAATACGTTTTAAGGAGCAGTGCCTTTGGATTTTTGGAAGATTGGCTTAAATGGTACATCTAGTCTTACAGACAGTAAGGTCTTTTTTCCAAGCAGTATGTTTGGCTTCTTTTCATATGTTTGGTGATAATAATGACTTGCTGCACAGATGTAGGCACCAGGACACTAGCATACCCATTCTAATGTCACCACCTAAAAGTATATACAAATAAAGCTTATGGTACTATATAGACTTGTTTTCAAACTTTGGGGTGGGGGATGGTGAAATACTGGTGATGTCCAAGGTTTTAGTAGGCCAACATACTCTCCATCAGCATTGTAATTTGCTTAAATTACAATGACTTGTATATTCCAGTCACCTGTTTCACAAAC